TCTTCCTTGAGGAAAAAAATGCGACATCACAGTAGAACTTCAAGCACAAACCATAAATTTAGTATTTAATTAATGCTAATTAAATGAGCAACAAACAAGATAGAATGGATAAATATTAGGCCAAATTAGGCCAGGAAAACTCCCAGAAGATTCTTATGCCCAAAAGATTCTCGACTCCAAAACATCAGCATAAACTTCATTAGTGAAAAGAATGGTGTTACCACTGAAACTTTAAAACTAAAAACATCCACCAGATCAATTTTTATTCACAATTTGATGAAAAGTCAGCTCAACCCAAAATGTGAACTATTTCTCTCTCCAAAAGATGCAACAGACCTCAGTAATCCTACCATATTAAGTTTCAATCCCCACTGCTCCAGTTTTTTTATTTTCCCATCTATGCAGCACTTTATGAATTGGTTTTTGTAAGTAATAAGTAATGAGCCAGATCATTTTCATCCACCATTCTGGTGATGACATCCAATCAATCAGGTTATGACATAGCTCCTAAGATGCACCAATGCAACGTTCAGTGACCTGTGCTATATAAATCTTTGACTCTATGAACACAATTCATTTTTTTCCCATTCTTGTATGAGATGTGGGCATCACTATCAAGGCTAGCATTTGTGGCCCAACCCTAGTTGTCCTTTAACTGAGTGGCTCTCAAGGCTATTTCAGGGTCAATCATATTGCTACGGGTTTGTAGGCACTTGCAGGTCAGACCAAGTGAGGACAGCAGATTTCCTTCCCCAAAAAGAACATTAGTAGATCAAATAGGTTTTACAATTGATGGCTGCCATTAGACTACCTTTTAATTCTGGATTTTTATTGAATTCAAATTTCACCATCTGCCATGGCAAGATTTGAGCCTATGTCCTCAGAACAATAGCTTGAGGTTCTTAATTACTGGTCCAATGACATTATCACTACACCACTGCCTCTCACCTCAGTAAAATGTACTGACTCCAGCTTGTGCACTGTTATCCTTTCTTAGTGTTTCAGTTATTTTGAAAACAAGTCTCTGCCCAATCCATTAAAACGATGGTAATGGTCTAAAGGACTGAATGCCGTATTCCAATGTTAATTTGGTTTGTAATAATTGCCACCCCCCCTACATTTGTCACTGTTGACTTTTAGGAACTATTTCAGATATTCACCAGCTTCAACAAAAAACAACTTTGGAATGTTAAGAGATAGTAGGATGGTTTATTGAAATGGTTAATGTAAACTTGTTTCCATGTGATGACATCCTCCTCCCTTTAATGAAGCCTCATTTTTGCACCTCATTCCTTCTGTGTAGCCAGGAAAGTAACTCCAAAGTTTCAGAAAACTCTGTTTCTGCTTCACAAATTGCCCTGGATTAGGCTTAATTACAACTAAAATTATAGAATCAATGCCATATAAAAATAAGGACAGGCTGTATACTTTTGAATTGGAGGTCGAATTAAATTTCTGACCCCGGCTTGTATATCCACACATTATCTGAAATCCACTTTGATATCTATGAAAATTTTTAAAAATGTATAATTCATGAAATGATGTAGATTAAATTTATTCCAGAATTAAAACCTAATTTTTGACACATTCACCTCAAGCTGTATTGCATCACTGTGAAGTCTTTCAACATTTTTAAAGCACCCTAAGTTCTTCTTTTATGGGGTAATTTACCTTTCCTATTATAATTATTTTAAATGAACAAACAACAATTATATTTCATTTCATCTTCAAGGCAAAAAAATTGTGGTAATGGAAGCCAGGAATAATATACATAATACAAATCAAAAATCACTAATTGTGAATTGACAAAGCAGTGCTCCTCCTAAGTCTGAGATTCAAGACTGTAATATCATTCTCTCAATACATGCTTTTTGCTGGATTTAACAAAAATCAAAGAAACCAAAAGAAAATTACTACTTTTAGTTTACAATTTATCAATGCTTGTTCACTTAATAGAATTACTAAAAATGAAGAACTTTATAAATATGGATATTTAGAAGATATTTTGGTGCATATTTTCTCAATAAGATGAAAACAAAACTATGAGACACAAATATAATGTTCGTCTGAATTGCAAATAGAAGGGTGGAGAGGAGAGACATCCAATTAGATTGTTTGCTTTGTGAATGCAGGAGGTGAAACTGAAGACAGTACCCTCATCGCGACTTTATTGATACGGATCACCTCAAGGTGAGAAGTGACAAAGTCCTAAGCTATAATGTTCAGTAGTGAAATTATTCATTATCGCGATATAAAAAGCACACTACAGACCTGGGGTTCTGAATCTGCAAGTGCATGATACTATGCACGAGTCAATCCAATATCAAGACAGCTACATGCAATTATCTATTAAGCCATGACAAATTAACAAGCCTTTGGTTGGTTTTAACTCCCAGGACCAGTAGAATATTGGCCAAGTTACATTTACCTTGAAAGGTTAGCCCCGAATGATATACACCTGAACGTGCCAATCATTAAATGCATTTGTCAAACATTTTTTAACAGAGCAATTGGCTTAAAGAATTCTTATTCCACATGAAAAATTTCAAAATACAGAGAAAAAAGATTGTGGATCCAACCATTAAATTCTACCACAGCCATGACCTTGCTTTAACAATAAACTTCAACTATAATAAACTTACAGCATTATTGACTTCAGTCAATTAGCTGAGTTATAAAACAGGGCAGGAATTGTGTACCAAGAACAAAAAAATGCTGTAAAGACTCAACAGGTCTTACAGCATCTGTGAAAAGAAAGTTATTGTTTCACATCAAGATGAAACTTCTGATGAAAAGTCAGTTCAACCTGAAATGTGAACTGTTTCTCTCTCCACAGATGCAACTGACCTCAGTGTGCCCAGCATTACTTGCTTTTATTTTAGATTTCCAGCGTCCAGAGTATCTTGCCTTTGAACAGGACTTGCTTAGGCTTTACTGTTTGGACTAACTTGGATTACAAGAGTTAGATGCGCTTTTCAGGATCAGACCCATCTTGTGAGTGGAAATCCCTATTAAAAAATGAAAATGAAAAATTTCCATCGCTTACCAGCAAACAAACCTAAAGATCCCAAAACCTGCATCTTGTGATGCAACGAATTTCGAATGAAGTTTTCAAAGAAAACTTGTTTTTCTCATTTTAGTGCACTTTTGACAAACAAATGTATTTGTTAGGACATCTCCATATTCCCTCTGTGAATTAGGTAAAAATGATTAATCAAAACAGCAGTTATCCCTGGTCAGAAATTAGTATAGTTCTAGAATACAATTTACTTCTCATTACATTCTCAAGTAATGTTACTTGGGAATTATCAGATTGTCTTCACTAGTGACAGACAGATGGAGTTATGGTGACTTTAAAAGAGGGACTCTCACCACTTCAGTTGTATGTGTGTTAATTTAGTTCCCTCATACCGTTGGTAACTCCTCTCCAAGCCATTTACCCCCGATGTCTTCAGCACTCACTGTTTAAACAAAGATTTAGAAAGACAAAAGAAATATAGAAAAAAATCAAAGGGTTATCAAATGCTGGACCTAATCCTTGCTAACTGGTTGCTTTCTAAATTTTTTTTGGCCCTAATGATGCAATACAGACTTTATGATTGTTCATACACGGAGTATGATCCATAGTGTTGCAGAAAGATACAGATTAAGATCAGAAATAAAAAAACCTTCGCCCAAGTCAGATATTTCATAAGTGCATGGGATTTGAAGTCATATTGATCACCTAAGAATGATTTCAAAGACAATGGTGATGATTGTACCAGTTAAACAAGAAGGCTGTAAGTACTGTATGAATCCTGTCATTGATAACACCCGTGAAACTACATAAAGGTACTTAGGACACAGTGCATGTGTTTAATGACTCGAGGGGAGGGGACCAAGTAAAGAATGGAACAGTCCAACTGCTACAACTGCTGGTCCCTAGACACTTCTCCTTTGAACATAAACACATTTGCACATTGTGTGTTTTACTCTGTAGTGACCCAAAAAACTAGGAAGAGTGGCAGCGACTAACGGCCAGCATATCATGTGTCACAGGTGCATGATAAGGTTTATTTGCGAAATGCAAAAAAAATGGAAGCTTTATTATAGACAAAACCACTGGGAAACATGAACTAAAATGGGAATTGCAAAGAGAGATATTAACTCGTAAATCAAAAGAAAATTACTCTACCACACAACTCCAGAAATAATTTCAGATCTTGTCTTCTCAGACTTCTTGCAAATTCAAGATCAAGGGAGATTATGCACGAGTGTGGTGAACCAGATCAACGGAAGCTGCCCCTTGTGAAGGTATAATTCCCAATACAGAGAGAAAGGCAAAGAACTGATTCAAAAACAGAAATTACTTGCGAAGCTCAGCCAGTCTGACTGCATCGGTGGGAGGAAAACAGTTAATGTTTCATGCCCGGTAACTTTTCATCTGCTTCCTTCCCATAAATGCTGTCAAACCTGCTGAGTGTCGCCAGCAATTTTGTGTCTTTGTTTCAAATTTCTGTCAACGGCAGTTCTTTATTTCATTTTAAAGACCTGACTCACCCACCTCCGGAACCATCACCTGAAGCATCCCCAAGTCACCAAGGCCGGCCGGCCGACCCACCCACCACAATAGCCTCAGACGCCAATTGGCTGACGCCCGCCCCATAAATGACCATTTACGGCGCCCAGTCGTGGCCCCCCCCACGCCCCTCCTTCCTCCATGCATTGGCCGTTTACCAGTGCGCACGTCCCCATTGGCGTAGGCTGCCGGCACTGCAGGTAGAGGCCGCCACCCATTGGACAAGTCCACAGTCACTCCGGCAAGACGCCGCCACCCATTGGCCGAGTCGCGCCCGTCATGCATGTGGGGCGGGGCACCAGGGCGGAGCCAGGGGCACCCTCGGCTTCTTTCCACCATATTGGCCGGATTCTTCACAGCGGACATGTTTACTGCGATTCAACAAGGAAACATTCGGTTTTCAACAGTAGTAAGGATAAATGTTTGCCATTATCGCGCTTACCGTCCCTGGACGTCCCCATGAGCTGGTCGAGCATAGCTCGCATTTGGGCCTGTGCCGACATTTTTTTTCTCTGGCTTTTACAGGATCCGCCGCACAATTTTTTTTAAAGCCGGGAAAAAAAAATACCGCTAGCTACTAAAGTGATCCGATTTGCCGCAGATTTTTTGTTTCCTTTTAAAACGTCCAAAGCCGCTGGTTTGCATCGAGGGTTATTTTATTTTTCCGCCTCTTGTTTTTGCTCGAGCTCAGCGCCCTCGTCTCGAGCCGCTCGGCCGGAACTGACGTCACGTCCAACGGCCCCGGCTCGTGACGGGGACGCCACCAAGTTCAAAAATTGCATGGGGGAGGGGAGGGGAGCAGGCAAAGAATGGAACAGTCCGACTGTTGCAACTGCTGGTCCCCAGACACTTCTCCTTTGCTGATCTTTTCGTGGACTCAGATCCACTTACCCGCGTTCTCACCGTATCCCTTAATTCCTTTATTGTTCAAAAAAAATCTATCTTATCTTTAAAAACGTTTACTGAAGTAGCGTCAACTACTCCACTGGGCAAGGAATTCCATAGATTAACAACCCTCTGGGTGAAGAAGTTCCTTCTCAATTCAGTCGCAAATCTGCTCCCTCTAATCTTGAGGCTATGCCCTCTTGTCCTAGTTTCACCTGCCAGTGGAAACATCCTCTCTACGTTTATCTTATCTATTCCCTTCATAATTTTATATGTTTCTATAAGATCCCACCTCAATCTTCTGAATTCCAACGAATATAATCCCAATCTACTCAGTCTCTCCTCATAAGCCAACCCCCTCAACTCTGGAATCAACCTAGTGAACCTCCTTTGCACCCCCTCCAGTGCCAGTACATCCTTTCCCAAGTAAGGAGACTAAAACTGCACACAGTACTCCAGGTGTGGCCTCACCAGTACCTTGTACAGCTGCAACATAACCTCTCCGCTTTTAATCTCAATCCCTTTAGCAATGAAGGACAAAATTCCATTTGCCTTCCTAATTACTTGTTGTACCTGCAAACCTACCTTCTGTGATTCATGCACAAGGACACCCAGGTCCCTCTGCATAGCAGCATGCTGCAACTTTTTACCATTCAAGTAATAATCCTTTTTACTATTACTCCTACCAAAATGTATGACTTCACATTTATTTACATTGTATTCCATCTGCCAGACCTTTGCCCACTCACTCAATGTATCTATGTTCCTCTGCAAAGTTTCACAGTCCTCTGCACACTTTGCTCTGCCACTCATCTTAGTGTCATCTGCAAACTTTGACACCCTACACGTGGTCCCCAACTCCAAATCATCTATATAAATTGTAAATAATTGCGGTCCCAACACCGATCCCTGAGGCACACCACTAGTCACTGACTGCCAGCTAGAATAGCACTCATTTATCCCCACTCTTTGCTTCCTGTTAGTCAACCAATCCTCTATCCGTGCTAATACTTTACCCTTAATGCCATGCATCCTTATCTTATGCTGTAGCCTCTTGTGCGGCACCTTGTCGAAGGCCTTTTGGAAATCTAGGTACACCACATCCACTGGGTCCCCATTGTCCACCTTGCTCGTAATCTCTTCATAGAATTCCAAAAGATTTGTCAAGCATGACCTGCCCTTCATGAACCCATGCTGCGTCTGCCCAATGGGACAATTTCTATCAAGATGCCTTGCTATTTCTTCCTTGATAATAGACTCAAGCATCTTCCCCACTACAGAGGTTAAGCTAACCGGTCTATAATTCCCCATCTTTTGTCTACTTCCCTTTTTAAACAGTGGCGTCACATTTGCTGTTTTCCAGTCTGCTGGGACTGCCCCAGAGTCCAGCGAATTTTGGAAAATTACCACCAGTGCACCTGCTATTTCTCCCGCCATCTCTTTTAGTACCCTGGGATGCATTCCATCAGGGCCAGGAGACTTATCAATCCTTAGCTCCATTAGCTTGCCCAACACTACCTCTTCCGTAATAATGATGTTTCCAGGTCCTCACCTACCTTCGTCTCTTTGTCAATTACTGGCATGTTATTAATGTCCTCCACTGTGAAGACCGATACAAAATACCTGTTCAATGCCTCGGCCATTTCATCATTTCCCATAACTAAATTCCCCTTCTCATCCTCTAAAGGGCCAATGTTTACTTTCGCCACTCTTTTTCATTTTATATATTTATAGAAACTTTTGCTATCTGTCTTTATATTCTGTGCTAGTTTTTTCTCATGTTCTATGCTGGGAGTTGCCATTGATAATAAATTCAGTGACTACAAGTGCTGGTCGGAGTATAGGAATGCTGCGGCGAGTAACTCACCTCCTGACTCCCCAAAGCCTGTCCACCATCTACAAGGTATAAGTCAGGAGTGTGATGGAATACTCCCACCAGCTGGACGAGTGCAGCTGCAATAACATTCAAGAGGCCTGATACCAGCCAGGACAAAGCAGCCTTGCTTGATTGGCATCACATTCACAATCATCCATTCTGTTCACCACTGATGCTTAGTAGCGGTAATGTGTTCTATCTGCAAGATGCAATGCAGAAATCCACCAAAAATCTGTAGGCAGCACCTTCCAAACCCACAACCACTTCCATCTAGGAGGACAAGGACAGCAGATATATGGGAACACCACTCCACCACCTACAAGTTCCTCTCCAAGCCACTCACCATCGTGACTTGGAAATATATTGCCATTCCATTAGTGTTGCTGGGTCAAAATCCTGGCATTCCCTCTCTAAGGGCATTGTGGGTCTATCTAAGCACATGGACTACAATAGTTGAAGGAAGCAGCTCACCACCACTTTCTTGAGGGCAACTAGGGACAGGCAATAAATCCAGGCCATCCAACAATGTCCATGTCCCATGAATGAAATGCGATCTAACGGCCATGTTTTTTAATGGCACAGTTAGTGACATTTTATAGATAGCTGTCTCAGCACTAACCACTAGTATGAAGAACTTCTAAATTGCCTAAAGGAATAATGATGAAGGCGGCCAAGAGGGAAAGAAAGCAGACAAAAATCGGTAATGCTTCGAAATAAATACTCTGGTCTCACTGCAGCTCCATTTTGGAATATATGAGATGAGTCAGATTAGTATATGTCATTTTCCTTCTGGGACTCTGGGCATTCGGATTGGGATGAGGAGAAAGGAAGAAGATGAGGTCCACAGAGTGAGTGTGGGGGAGAAATGAAGGGAAAGTGTAAAAGTGAAAAGAGAGGGAGCAGAATGATGAAGGGAGTCCATAGAATTCATAGAATCCCTGCAGTGTGGAAACAGGCCCTTTGGCCCAACAAGTCTACACTGACCCTTGGAGCATCCCACCCAGACTCACCCCCCTAATCTACACATCCCTGAACACTATGGGAAATTTAGCATGGCCAATCCACCTAACCTGCACATGTTTGGACTGCGGGAGGAAACCGGAGCATCCGGAGGAAACCCACAGACACGGGGAGAATGTGCAAACTCCACACAGACAGTCACCCGAGGGTGGAATACAAACCCGGGTCCCGGTGCTGTGAGGCAGCGGTGCTAACCACTGAGCCACCGTGCCACCCCATTGAATGTCATTGAATGTACAAGAGAATAGCAAGTGAAAGACAAGATGAGGAGGTGGAACCACAGATGCAAAAGAATGAATGGTGTAGCAAGGGGAGAATGCAAGTGTGGACTAAGAAAAGAGAGCAAATGTGTGCGACAACATGAGTGATTGGCATGGATGAGTTGGACTGAATGGTTTGTTTCCATGCTGTACATCTCTATAACTGTATGAGTGGGAAGATGATAGATGGGCGTGAGCTGGGAGAGGCTGACAGTGGATTGAAGAGAATGGGGTCGCAGAGTGAGAACAGGAAGTGTGAGGGTTAGAGTGAGAAAGAAACAGTGAGGTGAGCAGAAGGGAGAAAGGCTGTGAACAGGATTGAAAGGTGTAACAGAGGGAAGGAGGATGGGAGGAAATGAGATACAGAGTGATGGGAGAGGGAAGGAATAGTAGTTGGGAGGAAGGCGACATGGTGAGTAAATAGGATGGCATGTCAATCATGTTGAGTGATATTTGTAGATCCTGTATTGATAGGAATTTTCCGAATTTATTTTCCCAGTTCTTATTACATTTATTTTCTGGAACAAGCCAATTTCCAGAGTCTGGAAGTGTTTACAAACTAAACCACAGTTTCAGATCCTACAATTCCATCTCTCTGTCTATGTCCTTGCTGTTTGGCACTTGGTTTCATTGGTCATTTGGCTACAGGGAACCAGGAACCAATGATAACTGAAGGTTATTTGCTATTTAACCTTAGCTAATTGAGATGCAGTCTGTATCCGCATTTTATTACAAAACACTGCAGATGCTGGAAATCTGAAACAAAAATAGAACTTGCTGTAAAGATTTATCAGGTCAACCCAGTTTTCAGTTCTGTAACTTTCCTGTATCAGGACACAGACCTGAATCTTTAACCTGGTGTGAATTTCCAGCATTTTCTACTTTCATGTTACATTAATCCAGCGTTTGCTGGAGTGAATGCATCACTGACTGATTTCACTTTGTGGAATGACAAGGAAATGAGAATTGACGTAGATGCTGCCTCATTGTTACATTCAATGGCTCAGCAATGCAGCACCATTTTATTTAGTAAGGAAATTTTACAGGATTACATTTTGGTGCAGGATTATTATAACTTTCCTGCTTTACAGAATAAAGATATTGACTGCTACATATGTCAAGTCATCTGAAGGTATAATAAACAACAGGATCAGAACTATAATAACTACCCAATAATCTCAAACTGCATGCCCAGATTAGGGAAGGGACTATTCTGCAATGATATGGGAAACTAGTGTTGTGAACTTTGTAACCTTGTGACCATGCTGAGGGATGGCCTTACAGAGGTTTACAAAAGCATGAGGGGCATGAATAGGGTAAATAACCAAGATTTAAATAACCAAGAACCTTTGCCAGGGTAGGGGAATCCAAAACTAGAGCGCTTAGGTTTAAGATGAGGGGAAAGATTTAAAACTGAGGGTGGTGCATATATGGAACGAGCTGCCAGAGGAAGTGGTGGAGGCGGGTACAATTACAACATTTAAAAGGCATCTGGATGGGTACATGAATAGGAAGGGTTTATAGGGATATGGTTCAAATGCTGGCAAATGGGACTAGATCAGTTTGGGATATCTGCTTGACATGAATGAGTTCAGCAGAAGGGTCTGTGTCCATGCTGTTTAACTCTATGACACTATGAGATAAAACAGTAAAACCCTTTATAATAGAGGACAGAGAGCTCATTTTTGTT